AGTTGTTAGTGTATATAGTTTTTAAAGGGGAAATAATGTGTAGTAAAATCGTTTGAGATGAAACAATACAAATAGTTCCCACGAAATCCAATAACTGGAAGAATTCCGGGTAATTACGGGCGGAACGAGCAGTTTTATCCGCTGTAGGAGCGCTGGATTCCGCGGCGCGAACGGGAGGAAGAGCATTCGGAAAAGCGCTGCGGTGAGGCCGGGGGGAGGCAGTCTTTCATCCCGGGGAAACGTCATTCTTGTTTGCCATTGGCTCCGGTCCTCCCTTCAGACTTGCATCCGCTGTCGATGCTATTCGTAAATCAAAATTGCGACGCTAAATCGACGGCGTTGTACCCTTTAACGTCGGCGGACCTGTCGGGGAACCCGACGGAACGACGCAAGTGCCGAGAGGGTGGACCCCGTCGAGGCCTCGCTGGCCCTTTTCGCTCGTTCCCTTTAGTCGAAATTCCGCAATTTGCCGACGGGATACGTGATATTATCATAATTATATTACCTACTGCTTTCGAGTTTCCAGTTACCAGTTCCTGGTTCCCAGTTCCCGATCGGATCGACCTAATTATTATATATTAATTAAGCTTCCAAATTGATATAATAATTAAAAACTGTGTACGTAAATGAAATCGTATGTGTATCTACGTAGGGATCTACTGAAATCTAATCAGCAAATATTTGCTCTATATCGTTATAAAAGTAATGACAATATTTAAATAATTTAATGGATTGTTAACAGCCAATGTACCGCTATCTCTCCTGCGTACGATGAAAAATTGCCATCTCTTAGAAACAAACACCGATTACATTAACGAGTGATATACGTAAATTAGCATCCCATTTAGATAACTCCAATTGACATGGGTGTTTTTTAAAAAACAAGACGTTGGGAAAAAAAGGACGGAATCGGAAAAAAAAAACTTTTCTGGTATCATGCCAGGCATAATTAAAATCTTTGGATCTCTCCGAGTTGACTTGCTGCAATTTACATTTTGAATACGTTAAATTTAAATTAATTATTCGAAAGCAAGAATTGAGATATCTGTTCGTGAGAGAGACGCAGCACTGATTTGTCCCGGTTTTCTTAATTAACAACTAATTAAGAAACTATGTTTGAATTGAGTAACACGTCTGATTTAAATTCTGAAGTTTGTTGTTGGAGCAGCGCACAAGAAAAATCAAATTGAATAATGCACACGTGAGCAGAGGCCAATTTCCTATAGTCGTTTTATTTTATGTTCTTAAAGTAGTACCTATTATATTTATCTCTTTACTTTTAGAATTAATTAGGTATACCTACTAAGTTGCAGATTGTGTAATTTGAAATATCTATAGTATTATATTAAGGTTCTTTGTATATGAAAAGTTTAAACTCTGGTATCTAAAGTATCTAATGGATAGAATAATAATGGTAGTGACTCCTTTGGGCCTATTCCCTTGTTAATTATAGAGCTTCATAAAAATGTAGTTATTGTGTTACATGCACATTTCTGTATTATGTACCCACCTAGATTAATTTATAACTTATTAAATATAAAAAATACAATTATTTGTGCCACATTCAGCTCATTTAAAATTCCTAAATGTTTCCATTAGGTTTAAAAAGACGCGTTATAAAATGAGATATATATCATTAAAAAACATACCTATTTTTTTGAAGAGATTACTACTAATAAAAATCGTGTTGATATTACCGATATTAAATCAAACGCGTGCTTCCAACTCCATTTATGAAAAGCGAGTCTCGCGTACGCTCCGGTACAAATTGACAGGCGAATCCAAGATTTTTCGACGTTACAATGATATATAACGAAAGAATCGTTATTATTTGTGTTAAAAGGTTAAATTTATGTTGAGACAATATTTCAAAAGCAACGACCTAGGCCAACTTGGTCCGAGCACCAACACCAGAGCCGTAAATCAAACGGAAGGTCGACTCGAACGTACACACTCACATTCTCAGAGAGACATATATTTCCTTGACGTTGGTACATATTTCAAATTTTACATGCGAATGTACCGTTGTATTGTTGTCGATGGCACGGTTAGATTCGGGTTAGAGATGAAAGGGAAATTTTTTGTATAAAACGACTGTTTTCGGAGGTTCCTTCTCGGGTTATTTAGATGTCGAGACGAGATTAGCTTTATAAGTACTTGCAGTACTAGTATATCATACAATATTCTCTCTACTTATGAGAATTTATACATACTAAGTACACCTTTATAGTACAGGAATTTTTTGTGTAGATACATCATGTTGAAAGATTAAATCGATTGAATATATGTAGCCTAATATTTCTTAATGTTGGCAAAAATATATGCCGGGATTAAATGATGTACATAGACCACCACGTCCGCCATTCGAGTTTTTTAATTCGCCGGGATGATTTCGGAATACGTAAGAGCCTCGCTCAACCCCGTCCCCGGCTCCAATCCCATACAAATAGAGCAATTTATCGAAAAGGAAAAAACTCACGGAGCTCTAAATTTGTAGACACGACCGACCGGGATCGTAAATATACGTATGCGTATAGAGACGTCCGTCGCTCGCTTTGACTTTTTGCCCCGATCCGGCCGGCCGGCTGAACAACCAGCGAGAACATCATTTTGATATTTTACTGAAAGAGGCAGAACTATTAAATCTCGCGAGACAGGGGACTGGCGGATCGCTCTGAAATTACTTAATTATCATTTTTAGCCGTTCGTTTTCAGTGGGGCAGAAAAAATTTTGCGACAATTATTCCGCTCGTATACAATGTCGGTGCAATTAAAAATGAAGGTGGAAGCGGCGAATGATGTTTTACTCGATCGGACGATTTCTTTTTGCCGGCCGCGGTACCTTTAATAGCAACCGGTACTTACTGAATCAATTTCAGAATTGGTAACATAAAATATATATAACTCGTATTATGGCGACAAAAAATTTCAAACTCTATAAATGCTGGATGTTTCTACCTACCTCGTATCACTTTATTATATTTTACCTACTTATACTCCAAAAAAAGTATAGGAATACGATTATCAAACAAAAATCATAATCTATAGCAATTGCTTGTGTGAAATAATTTTCTGTGCACTAATTAACAATTTTTAATCAAGTCGAGAAAAAAGAATGCGAGAGAAACGACGGCACGTGGACGTTGTCACTGCGGAAGGACGAATAATAGTCGCTAAACAGAATAGATGATCGAGGTGACAGATTAAATTTATGAAGTAATGTTTAGCTGAGCGTGGTAATATTCTTTGATTTAGCAGTAATGATTCATCACAATTTGCGGCAGTGACAGTGTACTAGCGCTCACTGTATCGCTAATTGGGACCGGGAACGCTTTAAATTAATTATTGGCCACGTTTTTGAGCCGTAAAATCGGCCGGCTCACTTGCGTTTTCAAACCTGCAAAACTAATAACATTGCGCTTTCTCCATGTAGACAGTTAACATTTAACACCGAGATATAACAAAGATTGAATATTATATCATCACGGTTTGTTGGAGGTCAACGTGTTGAGTCAATTCAATTCGAATTGCCTGCATAGGAACAATTATTGTATAAAATTATATATTTTCGTATAAATGCACTGTTGGGTGCATGTCGTTTTTATTGTGGATTTAACAAACACCTTTTCGGGCACGTTTTTCGAATTAATCGAACGTATTGTGTATACGCAATAATTATAATAATTATCATTATAATGAGCCGAACGGTTGCATTAAATTTATTCTATCGGCGGCGAATTTTGTACAAACGAAATCCATTACCTAACTGCGTAAAAAATAACTCGGCTTATTATTAATGCATGGAACGTTAACGAATTTTAAGCTAATTATTCAAATTACTCGAATAATTGCAACATCGAAAATCAATTTTCATCGATAGTAATAACCAATACAGATAGAAAAAATTCCTCGTCGTCAAGGAAATTCAGATATGGCTGAAGAGAATTTTGGAAAAATTAAGTATTGATTTTATGCAGGGTTAAGGTAAAAATTTTCCGATCACGTGCGAGAACGAAACGATGATGTGTAAATTTGGTAAAAATATAGGAGAATGGCATCCTCGGTGGCATCGGCATCCAGGAAATGAACGACAATGACAGTGACATAGCGTTTCTCTTCTCTCTAGTAGGCGAACACAAATCGATGGAAAACAGATGACGGTTCAATAGAGCGGCTCACGGCCCAATGCATACTCTGCAAGGGACTCTTTTTCCACTCATCTGTTGTTATACAGGATGAACGTGTTGTGTAGGAAATATTTGAAAAAAAAAACAATTAAATTGATACTAGTACGGGATATACGAAATTTACTATATCTGTATTTATTTATTTCAAAGAGTTTATTCGTTATTTAAAATATGTGCATTTGAATTAATTCGATATGTACATTGAGCAAAGTATAACTGTAAAACGCCTATGCATAAATATATTGATGATTTAATCAATGAGTGTAGTATTATAAGTTTATTGCAATTGTAGATATTAGTGACACGCTAAAAAAACATTTATATGAAAATTTATTTTCATCTTAAACAGTTCTTAAAGTTTCTACAAATACAAGAAATGTATACCTACATAATATCTATAGTTAAATAACTTTGAAAAATATTCTAGAAAAGTCTACCATGTCCATTTTAATTCAGGTTAGTGCATTAAAAGTTTGTAACTGAACTTTCTGAAAAGTTTTTTAAAACTCGTCAGAACTTTAATTTTTTAAAACCGCTCAGTTAATTGTAGATATAGAACCTACTTTTTAAAATAAATAATACACACTGCATCTTCTAAAAATAGTACAATGTATAGCTTTAAATAATGTTTCTCTTCTTCCCAATATATCCCGAGAGAAAGCAGCTTTTCCTTGCTGCCAATCGATCATCCGCAGGTTCTCTAGGTTAACATTGCCAGGTGGCACAGTGACCGTCCACGTTTGATACATGACAAAACGTTATCGGTGAATATCAGCGCCCCCGTCTCTACAATCTATTGTTTTTCGATTGCAGGAAAATGGTGTCCACGGCGGGAATGGTCATCACCTACGGACGCCCGGGCGACGGACGCCGCCCGACGGGGCGTCCTCTATTCATCAGTCTTCCTCGGCAGTCCGGGTAAGCAATTTTTTTTACCAAAAATCGCAGGAAATCGCTCTTCCTCCCTTTCATCTATCCACCTCCTATGCGGAAGCTTAGGGATTGTTTTCAGCAGGAATAATTTCAAATAAACTTTATAAAAAGTGTAAATAATATAGCGTAGTAGTAGTAGTAGTAGGAGTTGTGTAGCAGCAGCAGCAGCGGGATCAGCAGCGAGCGAGCGCGGTCGAAAGCTCGTCGGCGTCCTGCGGATCGTTCTCTCGGCGCGCACGCTTTCAAACTCTCTCTCTCGTACGCGTTCGCGGTCGGCGCAACGAAGGAGGGCCCGTTGCCATGGCGACGGCCGCACTACCGCCCTGCCGGCCATGCTCGGAGTTGCGCGTGCGCCAGCAGGAACGAGGAGGTGCGCGCGCGAGCCGGCGACGGCGCCCGCTTTTGCGCTTTTTTGCATTCGACGGTCGTCGTCTTTTTGCCGAGCACCGGCCCGCAGAGAGGGCGACGCAGCGCGAGGGCGCCGCGACGTCCTCGCGATTAGCGGCGCGAGAAAGGCGAACGGTCCGTTATTGTTTCGGGCCCGACTGAGTGCAGACTGCACGGGTTTTTTTTATAAGGGTTCTCGACGGTGGAATGAGGTTTTTCTTATTAATTCATTATTCTGCTGAGAAAATGGAAAAGCACTGGGAACGTTTTTTTCTTGCCATTAGAATGTAGATAATATATTTGCTATCATCATCAAGAGAATAAAGCGCTTAAAAATGGTCATATTAAATTCACATATTATTTTGAAATGATATAAAATTAAAAACACCCAAAAACTGAGTTAAAAAGTTTTTTAATAACTTTTTTTGTATACTTCTGATGTGCATATGACCTTGGTAGCTTCAGTAATTCCAATCGATCTATACATTAAAAAATAAATATCTTTCGAAAAACGATTATAAAAGTTACCTCGATAAATAAAAAAGATAATGTAGTAGTATGGAATTAAATAGATTTTTCCTCCAGGCTGTTTTCCATCAAACGCTCAAGCGTAATGAAACGCTATCCGCTAAATATCAAATCAACTTAAACGCGAATATTGCTTAATACACATGGAGTGCAGCCTTCGAAAGAACCTAATAAGGAAATAATTTTAATAAAATACTTAATGGCCGCACGATTTCTTTATTTTTATTCGCAACATAATGGTTTATGGGCGATTTTGTCACGATATGGCGGAGCCAATTACCGATTCGTGATTGCTCGTCGAGTTCACGGGGGTCATCGATTTTTCAATAATTGCGTTTGTTTTGCAGAAAACCAAACAAGGCTATCCCCTGTCATTATGTTTTTATTAGTTTAACTCAAGTTGATGGACGTCGATTAGGATAAATGTTATTTTTTATAACATACATGAAAAAACGCACCAATTATTCTTCATACTTATTTTTTTCACTATTTTAACTATGGGCATTTTAAGAAATAATTCATCGTTATGGAAAATTTGGTGGTACTAAAATTGTGTAGAGGTATTCGATGCTCCATTTTGCGAGTTCTACCGCGAATAGAAGAGTCTCGAGGCGTGAGAATCGCGAACCTTCGGTGTAGGAGTCCGTTGTAGGTAATTTGCGGATGACCCCGACAGGTGACCTGCGGCAAAGAAAAGACGGAGAAGAGACGAGAACGCCTTTGATTGGACCATCTATCACAGTGGGCCGCGTAATTGGTTCTCATACGGAACGGCGTCGCTCATCTCCAGACGAACGGGCGTTCGGCTTGAACTTGCCCTTTACCTACACTCATCGTTTTCTCAATACCGGCGAGCAAACAAAAAAACCCGAGTTTGTTTTGATCGATTTAACGACGCTTATATCTGCTTAGATGGCGCACAATGGACGGAATCTGCTCATTGAACAACGCGCGCTAATAGTTTTTAAACACGTGCCCCCGAAAAAATAATTCGAAACCCCCGCGTCTCCCTTCGCGTGGCAATTATACCGAGAGGGAGCGAAAGAACGGGGAGTCGCGTGGCCGCCTGTCAATTCCAGGTCTGTAGCTGACGAGTTCGTGCAGGGCCCTTCATCTGCACCGTTCGAACCTACCGCAAACGCACTCGTCGAAGGGTACGCGCCCTTCAGAATCTTTCGATTGCGATTTACGCGACGGCGACGTCTCCACAATGCGCTTTCATATGCGCGCGAATTGATCATCGTGCGAAACAATAATCTCTCGAAAGTCTCATATATTTAAAAATCCCGGTAAATCCCACCTCTAAGCCCGTTTGTATAAATGAGCGAAGCAATAAATCTAGTCGAATTCCCTTCGTTGAGTCGTTTTATCGCGATGGAACATTCCTGGTCCATCGTTATCCGATTGGAAATCGCCAAAAACCGGTCCCTACGACCGGCCGTGTCAGATGATCCGGCACCGGGAACGAATGGCGATTAATCAAATCTTATCGGTTACGGCGGAGAGAGGCCCGTGTCGACGGTGGTTCTCTCTTTTTCTGGCTTTTCTCGCTACGAATGTCACACAAAGCCGTTTTGAGTAATTATGCTATTAAAGAACTAACGGTTTTTTTTTTATTTCATGTGCATCTTGTAGGTACCTTCATTCCTACGCTGATGGTTGTAACGCGAAAAATTATTAATTATATGTATGTAAATGAAGAAAACGATTTTTTTTGATACTGCATTATCAATTCAATTTTAGAGACATCCCAATTTCACGCTTTAGATGTTTCGACGGTCTAAAAATACCAGTTCCAAATTATTCCCAAAAGCCTATATCGCTTCTATCTCTCTCCGGTTACTCTATCCCTAAAAACCTCGTAAATCCATCATCGCGGAGCGGGGTGCATACTGATTATCTATTTTTCTTTCGGAGATCGCTATTTTGATTTAATTTCATCGAGGTTGTATATTTTTAAAACGTCGGAGTCGACGGTTCGAGTTTAGGAGAAAAATGCCGGGAATTTCATAATGATTCCCGCTCTCAAACCGCCATGCATAAATGCATTAACGTTTCAATAATCCATTGATGCATGTATCGATCCGCAGTCGGAGATACGTGCGGTCACTTTTCGACTCGCATCGCTCTTTTGAAGAATTCATTAGGCTTTTGACAGGTACTCGCAATTTCACAACAAAATAAAAATTAGAAGCAACGGAAAATCTCGTTTCCACGACTTCGACATTCCGCGATAGTTCGTCTACAAACATTCCGTATAAAAAACGATTTTCGAAAAACTAATCACGTAACATCATCATCCCAACCCCATCGAATCGAACACCTCCAGTCATAAGCCATTATCCTTTTATAACCAACCATAATTTATGTAAATACCATAATGCCTGTTATACGAGACAGCCCGGGGTCCGTTGCACATTGGTCGTCGTGTAGTACTCGCCGTTGCCGGTGTTGTCGTCGTTTTTTGTCGGTCCGGTGGGACAAGGGGCGCCGCGGGTACCGCGGGTACCGCGGACCTCGATCGGCATACGAGCGAGGCACACAAGAGATCGGCCAATGGTGAGTGACGGGACCCATCATTAGGGGCCAGCGATGGACGTTGCGCCTATATGCACGCGGTACCCATCGCCTGCGGCCGGTTCCCAAGTGCTCGGCATTCCTTTCGAGGATGGTTCCGTGCGTTATTAGGAGAACCCGAGAATTAAGGGATGCTTTAATCGCGTCGAAACTTATGACCGATTTTTGTGAAATGTATAATACGGCTCGTGTTGTAAACTTATGCGCTTAAATATTTCGTGTTTTAACGGAATTATCTATACCTTTTTCCATCAAACTAATGTGCCTCGCTGTAGGGATGGTTTTATTCGCGTCTGGTTAACGTCGAGCCGTGCATCATGCACGAAATTAACAAACAATCCGCTTCATAAATATTTTTCGAATCGTCGAAATTTATATCCCCCATTGTCTAAGCCAAGGTAACACGTGTAACGTTATGTTAATCTACGTTATGAAGATAGCTGCGCCTGTCGGCTATCAAACGAATTGCCTATTCACTGCCTATAAGCTGATTGTCGAGTGTCACTATTTTGCGGCCGCAACGGCGAAAGAAATAGAAACGAATGGCGAGAAGGAGAGCCGTAGGTGTACAACATTTTTTTCGGTCGTTTATTTCGGTAACGTTAATAAAGTTCAGAAACTTTAATTATTACCGCCGAAGCACGCCGAGTTATTTTCGTGAAGGTAGTAGCGTTTTGAAAATAAGTTCGTTATCACACATGTAGCGAAGCACTCTCGGGAAATAGTAAGTCAAAAAAAATAAAAAAAAAGATCTCGTCGTCGCCACAGTACAAACATGTGTGTATATGCGGCATTGGAAATGGGCCAAGTTAACGAATTAAAATAATGTCTGTCGCGCGAAAACATAAAACGCATCATTAAAGAAGTCTCTCGTGTGAATGCCACGCAGTTTTACTGATTTAACGAAATTTATGAGACGGTGGTATTAGCGAGGGGATATCGGCCTCGGAGAGACGGATGATTATGGGGGACAGGTGTATTTCAGTTTCTTCGGTACTAGTCGAATTTGAGACTTATCTTTAAGCATCAAAGGCTTATGCAGCATGCTATAAAATTTTTACATTATCGGAGAGGATTTTTACATTATCCACAAAAATATACGACCTGTAATTTTATTCTCGAGCAACGATTAACTCTTTTTAGCACCATCAATTAAAACTGTGTTTTTTTTCTTTCGTACAAATCTCGATTTGTAAATTTTTAATTACAAGTTTATTTCCTCTTTTCCTTCTGCAAAGGCTATCATTATTGCCTCAACCTGTCGGCCGTTTTTCAAAAGGTGTCATTTAATAAAAACCGTTTCCATTTAATAATAGACGATTTTTTTTGTCTCTACGAATTATGATTTATAATTAAAGCCGTTTGTTGGAAGCGCATTAACAGAACTCTCCGGCCAAAAGGAATGAAAAATTATAATGAGCTCCGTTCAGGTATAAAAATGTACCAAAGTGAATTCTTTTGATAGGTGCATTCTTAGAAATATATTTAATCTCAATCTCGAATCTAACATGGTTCATTAAATTTTTTGTGGATAGTTCCGAATGGTGTTTTCCGAACAGTCGACATAATAAATTGTGTTTTTGGTAATTTAAAAACGTTCGAAAATTCGAGTTTATTACAAAACCTCGTTACGATATTTCAGAGACACCTTTAATTGGATTCTTGAGGCATTCAAGCAGAAACTTTTGTCGATTAAATTAATACTATAGATTTCTGAATTTTATTTTCAGTAATCATGTGTTGATAATTGTTAAAATTAAAACAAAACGAACGCAATTAACACAGTTAAATGTTCCACATACATATTTATCATTGATATTTTTTTCTCTAACCTAAAGCAACTTTGTGCGCATTCTGTTCCGTAATTTTTTATTGCATTTATTCAATAGTTAATGGAATACGAGGTACTTACATTGTACGATAGAGATATAAATTTAATGCTAACGACAATTTAATGCAAATGCAATTGGCTTTAATAAAAAAAATGTTGATATTTATAGGCAATAGACTAAAAATTTATAAGACCTGAACTTTATTTATGTATATTAAAAGTAACGTTATTGTTACATTGATTGTTTTGTAACTTATAATATAAACATTTATAAACAATTCCATTTTTTTCATACTCGTTACAGAGTTGCAATAATTATTTTTACACCCGAAGCGTTTAATGTTAATGAGTATTAGTTACGATGTTGTAATTATAGGATAATCCTTTAAATATTTAATATTATAAGTTGCTCGAATAATATTTGAGGAAATTTTTGAAATAATGATAGATATTTTATACATTAATCGCGCCATTGTAACATTCATTGTCCTCCTAATCGATCCCCCGCCCTATTTTAAACGAGAAGAAAACCTAATAACCTCACTAGAAAGCAATCTCGATTGCCGAGCGCCGAAAACACGGTGTGAACAAAAACAACCGAAACCTCTTGACTCTTCCGTTCTAATTGTGATCGCTGCGAAAGGACCCTTCGCTCTCTCGACTACCGCGTGTGTTTGTGATTCTGGTAATGACTACAATTCGAAGCAGAACAAACAACAACAGTTGAAAATCGGAGTTCGACCCTAATCTGATTTCTTCCCCTTTGCCGGTGACTCATTAACCCCCTCTAAATGGCGCGCCCCATGGCCGCTTCCGCCGCTCGGCCGGAGAGGATATGCGGGAATAGAAAAATCCACTTGTCATTCTTCAAATTATATTTGTGATTATTGATTATATACGTTGTAATAAATAAATTGTCATTTACTATACATATAAAATTTACTATACTATTTTTAGTAAAAAGTATATCAACTACGAGGGGTTCGAGAAACGTTTGTATACCCTTTGGAGATTTTTCGCGACACCGCCAATGTCCACCCTCGCTTATTTTTGCATAAGCCGACCTCCGGCACTGTTTTCACTCAGTCGTCATCCATTATAACACCCGCAAAATTGCGTTCTCTAATTATGGTCCGCAGTGCCGTTGTAATCGATCGAAAATCCGATTAGATAATTGTTTTCGATTCTTTTGTAGTTCAATTTTACTGGTTTTCCATCGAATTATAGGTATATTGGTAGATCTCTTACTAGCAGGCGGGGGGAACTACTCACCAGATTTTACCTATTAATACCCAAAAAATGTACCTACCCTTATCAAAACAACTTTCCTATTTTTGCGATATTTGTTGCGATGTGCATGAGATTTCGATTATTATTTGCGAACTATCTTAAAGAACGTTGAATTTCTTAATTGTTGCAGGTGAAGCGAGTAACGCAAGTATCGGAAGCGGGGAAGGGACAGGCGAGGAGGACGACGATACAAACGGAAAGAAAAATCAAAAAAAGAGAGGCATATTTCCCAAAGTAGCAACAAATATACTCAGGGCGTGGTTATTTCAACATTTAACGGTAAGAGTGCTCTATTATACCATTTGCACCCACGATTTTCGAACGAAAAACCGCGCACAATGAGCTTAAGCGCAATTACATGCGAACGTTAGTAATTACACGTTGAAAATGCCGACTTGATTCAATGCATATTAGATATCAATTGCATATGCATTGTTATTCCGAACGACGGCGGTTCCGTTTTAATCCGCGAGCGGGTTTCGTGCATTCTCATAAGCCCGTAAGTAGATACAATAAACAATGGATCACATCTTACTCGGCGCGCACATAAAATTTATACAATCCATCGGGCGATTATCATTCCCATGGCAGTCGACGATAATTGCGGACTCGGACAATTTCATTTGCGTAGAAGAGGAACAAAGCCCGTCGCATAAATGATGGGTCCACAAGTCGCCGCGACAACGTCGCGGACTCGCGACATAAACTCTCCCGCATGCAAAGCAGTTGAATAATCATTAGCGTGGCCGGACTACCGCCCGTTTGTTCTTCGACTGGACGTGGACGGTGGATGTTGTTGGCTCTTTTTTTTTTTCGTCGACCATTCTATTCAAATGCCGGCGACGCTCGGCCGATCGAATAAATTCGCTTCCAAACCGAATTTCGGAAAGGGCTACACCATCCATTTACTTGTCTTATCTGGTACAATGTTGCAGTCGACTTCCAAATAGGTGCTTGAAATTCGTTTGAACTCCGCATGATTATCGACTAACACACCATTTTATGTTATCCAATTCTTTTAAATATTTTAACGAATACTTTTGGTAAAAAGAAAACTCGTTAGCATAAACCGCACATTCGTTCAATTCTCCAGCTACAACCCGACGAAATCCATTTATGTATCGCCGCCCCCATTACCCTAAATCTTTAAACGACGTTTTCCGTTTCAAAGTCGCCGTAATTTCGTTGTTTTGAACCCTTGGCCTTCGAACGGCTTCGCCTTTCGGCGGTATCTTTAGCGCCGCCATCAAATATTGAAAGTCCCGGCGTGGAAAAAGTCCGAAAAGTCCGAAAACGTCCCGCGGGATGGACGACTAAGCGTTATCTACGGTTTCCGGAGGGCATCCTTTAATTCCGACTGACAGGTGGACGGCCGAGGATTTCCTGTGGGAGCCACTCTGACCATCTTATATCACGCCGCCCCGATGCGGACGGACGGAATACGGATGAAGGCAGCGTCGCGACGTCCGAAAGGGATCAATGTATATGTCTTGCATCGCGCCTAATTTAGGTTCGTAATTTTTCGTCGATAAAAAAATCGGTTTCTTCGGAAGGAGACCGATTGTTTCCTTAAGGCGCTTATGGTGAAAGGGGGGCGGTGTAGCGAGGGTGGCGACCGTTCGGACGCGGCTTTGCATGCATGTGGCGGCTAGATAAAGCGACCGTCCCGGCGACTAGGCTAAACGACACCGCCAGAGATGAAATCAACCTGAGGGGGTCCCTTACTAATCCCTCTTTGTACGTGATAGTCTTAGCCTTTGAATAGCCACCCTCGCAGATCAAATAAACTACTCCACTTTACGTTTTACTCCGAAATTATAGTCCCCAGACACTCTATACAGAACGTTTTATTTATTTACAATATAATTTTTCTTTAATCAGAGCATAATAACCGCTTTAAAATATCGTAGTTCTGCATGTAGAACACCGCAATAAATCACGACTATAATTTCATAATAACGGGTAACTATCTATCAATTTTAAATTCAAATTTAAGTTTCGCCATTGTACGAACGCACTGGGAATTCTTTATCCTATCGGCGAGTTGCAATTAAAAAAAAAACGAGAAGTGAAAAACTGCAAGCCGCAATTAGCCAACAAACGAACGCAATGGTGGCTCCGTTTCCGATAACGTCACCGGTGACAGAGTGGCGGTGTTATCTCCTACCGGCACGCAAGCCACTACGATCCGAATTATTTTGCCTTTGCCTACGTTAATACGCCGGCATTTGCATGATGGAGGAAGATTTTCATGTTGAAACGACGCGAATCAATTTCGTGCGAAAATGTTTTTTTTTTTATGTAACAACGAGCTTAAAGCTCGCGGCGATCTTGACATTACGCGCGGTTTAAGAAATTTTTCTATAAGAAAATTATGTGAGGGAAATATATTGGAACCAAAAATATTTGCATCCGGTGTTGTATAATTGCTTAGAAAAAAGATCTATAATATTTTTGGCGAGTCCGGCGAGGACTCAAATTGCTACTGGTCAAACGTAATTCGAAGTTTGACCCCGCGACAACCGAAATAATCACCGAGCATGTATTAAATGCCGCAAGCAGAGAAGAAATGGTCCTGGGGGCCTTCCGCTAATCCCCTACCGAACGTGAGGGTCCTCTAATTTCCTGCGGAGCCGCATCCACCATTTATAATAATAATTTTACGGTAGTGTTTCCTCTGGCCCCGAACCGGGTTCGTGCTGTGATTTCGTCGCTGCTAAGGGCTCATTTATACCGTTTCATAACAAATAATCAACCCGCTTAATGAGTTAATCACACATAGAAGTTTAATAACGAAATATATCGTATATAGTTTGTAAGAAAAAAGATATATTTCGTTCGTTTCTGAATTATTCCAAAAGCTCAGTCGATCAAAAAATATGTGAGAAGGGTGGCTGGCGAGCGAGTCGAGTTATTTGTACCCCATGGATTTAAGGGCTATTTATAAACGGTCGGATAGAAACGTAAAAAAAACTAGTCTTTCCGGCAACGGGATTTCATTTCCTGCATAGCTGCATCTGAGGTTGTATTTCCGGTGTGGAAATATCCCCGTTGATCCCGATACAGGAAAACTTATCGTCGACATGTGTCCTGCACCCTTAACGGATGGAGAATTTCATACCGTTTTTAACGTATCGACATTTTCCCTTATCTACTATATACATCGTGAAGATGAATAGGTTAGTTAATGGAATATTTCTAATTGATAAGTTGGTGTCTACTTTTTATTATAAACGAAATCTTTGATTCGGCGACGCGCTATTGCCGTTCGCATAAGGGTTATTCGGCCCCGGAGAGGGCGTCGAGATGGGGTTATCGGTCCCGGCGGAGCTCTCGGCTAGGTGTGATGGAGAATAGACGGTGTTTTTCGTGGAATTACCGCCGCGAATTCCGGCGGAGAGCTAATGGTGGTCGATGTGGGTCCCCCGGGCGCCCTTTTGCATCGTTGCACATCGCAACGACATCACAATTATTTTCCGAAACGCGCCGTTCCTTATCGGCGCGAAAAAACGGAATTTTTAATTTCGAAAATCGCCGGGCGAAAATCGCGTCGGGGGGCGTTTGACGGACGTCCCCTGGAAGAGTATCGCTCGCTATATGATCCGGGATTAGTTTGCACGACTCATTAAGCTCAGCGCGCTAATCTCTCCATCGGATATTGCGAGGGGCCTGGACCTAACTCACCGACAGCCAGCCAACCGACCCGGTTTGCCCGTTCAACCGTATACCCACTATTACTCAGTTTTAATCGGATATTACATACAATTTCATGAATAATTTTTGTGAACTTATTTCATAAAATTTCTTTCGTATTATAAAATGAAGTTGTGCAAGTATAATCGATTTTCCTCGGCGTATTTTATGAATTCCATTCGATGTAGTTTCGTCCAACTTAGAGAGGAAAAAAAAGCGTTCTTCTCCGCCTCCGTTTCCAATGCATAGTGATTTTTATGATAATACGGGGATTCCGTACGGCCATTATTTGCGTATCTCCATCAAAGAGATGAGGAAGCGCGAAAATTGGAGTTGGGGAGCATGGGGTCGCGGGATACTCGCAGCACTCGCATCGAGTTCATCACACACACACACACACACACAGTACACGCGCTCGGACTGATTTTAATGTACCCTGGGGTGCACACACACACATCACCTACCACCTACGGGCTGGCTCTTCCAATCTTCTTTCAGACGGAGATAACCGTAAATCAAGGAGATCGAGAACCGAGATGTCTTTCCGCACAAAATCGATGGAGATGGTATAAGGAAGCGCGCGGAAAGTTTCGAGAGTTATTATTATAGGTGCATAGGGAGGAATAAGGAAATCTTGACGCGTATTAATCTATCGCTTCTTTCGAAATTGATTTACTCTCCTCTCGCCGGCCGACTTCCTCGTCGATGCACCTTCGACGGTGAATCTAGCGAATCGTCTGTATACAATAAGCGGTTTAAATTAGAATTTTTCAACCCGAGCTCAAAAAATAGTTCCCTAAACATCAAACTACCTGAAAACCCATGAAACTCCTATTCAATTGCCATCGTACAAGGAATTTCGTCACCGAAACATCTCTTTTTCTTTATTCAAAACACGGCGAAGCTTAAACGATAATCAAAGTATATCCCAAATCCCATTTGGAGGTTGCAGATTGAAGAGGGGTGTGTTCCCGACCTCCCTTCCGGTCGTTCCCCCGCAGGACCGGATCCACCACATCCATTTTTCCTATACGTAAATTAATTAATTTATGCATATTAAATATTCATGTTAAATTGTGCGTTCTAAATGAAGGTTTATTATCCGATTAAGAAGGCTTGATTGGTAACAAATATCCATCTAATAGAGAATATATTATGTAATAGGAAATGTTATTTACTTACTAAGAAGAGTCAATTATGTGTGGCCAAAATTATCTAGCAAAGAGTTGTTTGTGTGGATTAAAAAGTCGGAAAAAGGGGTTTAAATAATGGTAAGCGATTCGAAGCCGGTCCTGATTATCCGGAACGTCTACGTTCCGAAACTCGTAACCACCTATTGGATGAGTTTTACGAGCAATTCCATCCACAGGTCGGATGAATTGGAGAGAACAGTCGTTTTCCATAACATTAGGCGTTTTCTTGAGATGCACACGGTACGGTAACTACTGCAGATCCAACGGGAAGATGAGTCGAACGGAATCCCGACCGTACGCCCGTCCCGGAAAGCCGTGGGGTTGAAAGTTAATTTCGAACGCAATGATTCACGTAACGAATGCGATACATTCGATGGCGAAATTGCAACGTAGTAATTTACAAATTTGCCTTTTAGTCTCGCACATTTCGAATTTTGTCGTTTATTAGTCGATTCGTGAATGTCGCACGTTCCGCAGCCTCGTTTTCTAGTCGCGAGCGCGATAATCACGTGTCATTTCCGAACTGGGACCGCCCAAAACGTAAATTGCCCGTACGTCGGGCGCTTACACACACCCTTTTCGAACTGAAAACGCTGACGAATCCTTCGCCATAATCGAGAAATCGCTTAATTACGCGACTACACCGTCTCGAATATGGGATATCCATTGCGCTAATTGCAAGTCTAGTATCTGGTTTATTAAGTAAATTTGTTTGTTGCAGCATCCTTACCCGTCGGAAGATCAGAAAAAGCAGCTAGCGCAGGATACAGGCCTTACGATACTCCAAGTCAACAACTGGTAAGTTCGATTTTGTTTTTCCATCGGAGTATTTTCGGAATCTGCGAGATATTATAATTCGTATAAATATATCCATTCGTTTGGATTTTTAGTTGTTTATAAGGCGATTAAAGCGTTAACGAGCGACCGGCGCAAACGAGCGAATAATTCGGAAAAGAATTCCGCGGCTTCTTCTCCGTTTTTTTGCGCCTTTCTCCGTGTCGCCGGCCGTCAGCGCGCGCCGCGAATTATTGCCCCGGCATTATTTAAAATATTAGCGAGCAGCAATTAACCGGCGAATTCCGCACGTTGCGAATCTGCCCCGCGCGAATTAATATCGCCGGTGGATGCGCCCGATATAAATTACTCGCCGCCCGTCAGCGATGCCCGCTGAAATTAGGATTATTTTCGACGCGTTTCCGTCCTTTTTTGGAACGGAGACCACGCGAATGTTGCCCAATAATTGCGATTCGCATTTTATGTGTCTACATTTTGCGTATAGTATAGTTCAAATCAAATTCAATTTTATACATTTTCCACTCTGACTTTTTATTTGCAACATTTCCACAATGTTCTAGTCTGCTATCCTATTTTTTATCCTTACTTCTGTTCACATTGCATATCTCTATGTATTGGTAAACAATGTCCCCAATCCTTTCTATTGTCATCATCTTCGTGTACTAATAGCTCTATTTGTTGTACTAATTGGGTCTGTATTGTTTGCTTAATATTAAGGTCACTGAAGACATCTATTAAGTGTATTTGCCTTTACCAAACATCTCAAACGAACAGAATATCAAGAAAAATAATATATTAATAAAATTACCAATCCCCTGGCTAAAATTTTCGTGTGAAACTCCTTTGATCCAAACGTAATTAATGATTCCCATCGAAATATCTACATTTCGGTTGTAGTAAAAAGGCCGGCGTGTTCTCTCTGCCTACTCAATAAAATTAGAATTTTGGGAGTATTCTCGGTAGGCGGGCGAGGACAGGCTAACGGTCCGGACACGCATTACTGTAAAGTTTTTTTCCTCGGGGATCCGAATCCGTTCCGGGAAACAAAACGCGCAGTTGCTTTAATTACGCCCCGTTCCTCGGTGATAACAGCTGAATTACTGTTTTTTGCGTCGCGCGATAACCGAACGAGGAAAATGGCGACAGCGCTGCGTCTAATGAAGTGAAATACTGCACTTTTAAATCGACCATATTTCAATAATAAAAGCTTTTACTTATACGCTAATTTTCGTTAATAAATTACAAAAGTATTTGTTAAAAAAAAAACGAATTTTTGTTCGCGAAATTAGCTCGAACGTCTCTCTAACAAAGACAAACCCCGAGCGCAAACATATCGTCAGGTGCACGGCTCGCGATAACCCCCGGGGGCGGCGGGGGCGGTCGAATGAGACAGGCGGTTGCGTTAATTCCGAGCGTACAGATTACGCACGTTCGCTCCATTGGAAATCCTCCCGGTCTATGGAAATGTTGGTCAAATATATCATTCCGACTTGACATTGCAATTCTCTTATCTACGCCGTGCTGCCGTTGCCGCAAGCCGCTCCCTCGCCCGCTGAAAAACGGGAGCCGAGTGAGAGCGTGATCCAGCGCCGCGCCGCCGTGAGGCGGCGGGACGGAGGGACGGCCGGGCGAAATTCCTCTCGCTCCACGCTCCAAATTGCAAACAAAACACCAGCGACAGGGCGGCCGGAACGAACAGGCTTGTATCCCCCTATTTACTTTTTTTATACAGTATTAATAATAACTTAAAAAAACAGAAACTTGTTGGGAAATTCGCAATTAAGAAATTTGTAGTAGTAGTAAAATAAATAATCTAGTGAACATCAGTGTATGTAGAAAGAGAAATATTGGGGTTCGTTTGAATTTTTTATTTGTAATTCGCGCGGATGCGGCTCTGGGCCGTTCCAAGTCGAGAGGCCACGATCTCAAAAAGCGAATATTAAAAACAGCGACGCCGTTATCTGCATGAGAAAATATGAAAAATTAAACGAATAAACTTTCAGACCTCCCGTAGCCGGGGCTTTATTCGAAATTAACTTTATCCGAAATTTTTATGCCGTTTCCAATAATACTAAAAGCCGGGACGACGGCCTTTCTATATCGTAAAAACCCTACATTTTTTTCGGAAACGTTTATTAAAAAGGTAGGCATAATCCAAACGTTCCTTACGTTCACGTCAGAATTGTATAATTGGATTATTCACAACGGTAAAAATTGCGCTTAGGTACAAATTTTCTCACAGGAATAAATTGATAAACAATACCGATTTGGTAACCGAATATACAAACATTGATCATTGTTCCTTCGAATGAACGCCGAGACGGAGGATCGCGCCGAAATCGAGCGGCATTAGGGGGCGTCGAAATGGCCCTAACTCATTGTTTTCGTCAACCCTTTGCCCGGTGTAAGGTTTCCACTGCTGTTATTCCCTAATCCCGGCTAATGATCCCGTATTCCGTTCCCGACACTTGTCGGCATTTCCTATCGGACTTTTACAAATAAATGCGCGATTCCATTTCTGCTTCGGAACAATTATCGTTTCCGCATTAAGTTAGGGCCTTCCCTCGTTAGTCCGTCTCGGGAACTAACCCTTCCACTACAAATGATGGATTAGACGCCGAGGGCACGACGTTATTCGAACAATTATTGGAAGATTTGTGATCCCCCGGGTACAGAGGGGGTTTGTTTTGATGCCGTCGCGATTATTATTTTTGCGATTTTTTTCTGGTGGAGTTTACGCAATGCGAAATATCTGGAGAGCCATTACGGGAACGTCTGTTGCCGGCTCATTGGACCCCTTTGCCTATCATGATGATGGATTTTCGGCGACGCACAGCACTATTCGGAAACCGGTGGCAAATGACCCGTGATTTTCGCGAGGGTTCAACTACATGCTCTCAACAGCCGCCATGCTGATTTATACTGTCGCGTGTACTACTCAATAGTATCGGAAAATTTCCCGTTTTCAAACTCTATACTATTACTCATAAAATAATAATTAGTAGGTAGGTAATAAAACTCGCCTAGCGCATCGAGAAACTCCTCCAAACAAAAATCGACGAGATCATTATCATCTCCCGCACAATCCCGAAACGGTGACAGTCCGTCTCTCGTCCCGGCTTCCCCGGCTCATCCTCTTCGGCATTCTCTAAGCAATTTACGAGCGAGTTTCATTGTCGTCGGGGATGGCACGCCGGCGAACGGCCCTCCAAGGAGCAATATCAGGCCATCTAATAGCCTCCCGAATAGCCTCCGAAACACCTTTTTAATGAACTATTGTAGCAGGAAATGAAAATGGGGAAGCCGGAGCCGGAGCGCCCGGGATCGGCGCGAACGCGGAGGTCGACCCCGCGACCCCCAGACATCGCTCGAATTATTCGAGGAAAAATGAGTTTGTTGTGCGATAATTAAATCGAATTTATTCAATCTATAGTCTTGTATCGATTAGCTCGTGGTACTGCTGGTTTCTATACAAAAATGAGTGAGTTGTGGAGGGAATTTTGGAGGTGATTTCGGCGCTGCTGGCTGGGGAGGTTTTTGCCGCGCCACCATCAGGGCTGATAAGGGCCGTTGCCGGCAGAGCCATCGCTGGGCCGGCGTCGCAACGACCGTGAGGGCGATTTATCACGGCGTCGTGGCGCGTCGCTGGCGGCATTAGCCTGCTCGGGGCCGGGAAGGTGGAAGGCGAGACGACGTCTTCGAACGGTAATGGCACGGAGAAGGTGAAAAATGATGATGACGCCTCCCGCGGAAACCGGGAGAATTCGTCGGATTGTTGATCTTTCGGCAACTAACGCTACTATTTAAGCTGCTAGGCGACGTTCCCACAGCTTTCGGAGCGCGTCATTAATAACGCGTTCGGTGCATGCCCGAAGGACCGAAGACGGCTAAACAATGACGTGTCTGACGATGTCATTGTGTCGTCGGATACAAATCGGAGATGGTCATGCCAGAGATTCTCGTCGCCAGTTTTTTTTCATCCTCCCCGCGCGCGATTTTCGACGTTTTTTTTTCGTTCAGGCGGATCCGATGGCCCGAGATAACAAACGCGGTATTGTGTTCGGGCCGAGCCGGGTATGTGGCTCTATGGCAGTTCCACGGCGATCGGAATGCTATTTCGAGAGACGGTTGGGGATTTCAAAGTGCAACACGTTCGGTGGAATGTCGGCCGTAAAGAACTGTGTTTTGTTGTTGAAACGGGTTTCAAATAGGTTATTTGGTAAACATTTCGCCTCTATGCTTATGTAGGTATAACGTTATTTTTATATATCGCGCGAATTAATTTAAGGGTTGTAATACAAAACGTTTTTATTTACCCCCGTGTTGTTAATAGAGGAAGTACGCCATATAGGGATCACCATAAGCACTTTTCTCAATAAAAAGTCGAATTTTAAATTTTAATCAGCTTTATTTATATTAAACAAGTCCTTAACCATTTAGTTAAGAAAAACTCATAATAAAATTCTCCAAAAAAGCAAAAACTTTGAAATAAATAACATTTTCTAAAGTATATCATTTTTATGAACTTTCAGAAAGTGAACATAATATGGACCACATCCAGATTTTTCCATTTCTAAAATATAATTGACTAATTCATCTTCCAATTCACTCGGTAATGTTGATTGTCTCCCAAGTTTTTGGATGGTGATATCAAAAGTGATTTGTTTTGGGTGTATGTTGGAATCATTCAAAAAGCCCATTTTCTTTTCTCGTGTATTTTTAATTGCCTCCTCCATTGCGTGTTTTATCCCCGGCTTGTCTGGTCTTCTCTGTTATCTTAGAAACCATTCCAGAACATAAAAATTAATTTTTAGCCACTCCATATTTAAAACGTGCCACAGGTCCATATTGTGATACTTACTCATTTTGAGATTATTAAAACTTAATACAATATTATAAGACCGGTCCATATTTGGCGCACTTACTCTAAAGAACTATAAATGGATAATATCTTATTGTATATCAAAAATATTTGACAGAAAAAATAGTGAACAAGAAAATAA